TTTAGTTTATAAACTATAACATATATAAATTTATGAATCACATGGTTAAAAGCTGACTTTGAAAAATAAATCTGTTCTCCTTTTCTTATAAAAGTCTAAATAAAACAAAAATATTGGTGGTAATTTTTGACTGTGTAACTTTACAAACGGCACCTCATAACCATCACTCATTGTTTTCAACAATAACCAACACTGTATTTACCTGACTTTACTGATATTTTTAAAAACATCCTCACAAGAAGTCTTCAGATCATACCTGAGCTTTATTCATATAAAACTAAAAAGATTGATCAGATTCAGGCCATAGGAGTAGAATAATGTGAAAACTTCCTTACTTTCAGAATAAAAGCTGTTTTGGTGCGGACATGTGCTTCTTGTTGAGTCTTTTCTGTTTTCTCTCCACAGGTGAGCTGTTCACCTGGGCCGCTTTGGACCGGGAGACGGCCTCCGAGTTCCACCTGGCGGTGAAAGCGACGGACGGCGGGGGGCGGTCCTGTCAGGCCGACGTCCAGCTGATGGTACAGGACATGAACGACAACCCGCCCCGCTTCTCCTCCAGCCACTACGAGGTCACGGTGTTCGACAACACCACGGTGCACACGCCCGTCGCCGTGGTGTACGCCACGGACGCAGACACGGGTGAGCTGACGTCTCAAACACTGGACTGTTTGTCTCAGGTCACGATATGTTGGATCAGGAATTCTTTTTGACTCGGCTGAACACAGACCTGCCTTTGTGTGCCTGAAATCTAAATGAGCTTTCACTGATCCCTGACACAATCAAACCCTTTCTGAATTCAGACACTCCCACCTGATACCTGTTTTTTTGTCTCATTCCAGCTGTGCTGGGAATAATCTGCTGCACAGATTGAACCTCAGCAACATTAGCGCTTCACGTTACACGATGAACGTTACATGTTTAGCACCTGCTAAATGTGTTTTAAATCAGTGTTTATCTGCAGAGACATCCCCCCTTTGTAAATTTGTTTAAATACCTGGAAAACATATTTTATCTCAGGGTTCCTCATAGTTTAAATCATGTTTTATGTTGCAGATATTTCAAGTAAATCCTTCGACACAAACAAGAGCAACATGAAGGATTTTAAATCCATTAAAGTGTCTGTGATGTGTATATTCTTCAAATACAAAAAGCAGGGGCGGATCTAGGATTTTTCTGAGTAAGGGGGCCATCAAGGGGCCACAATATTCATAGAGGGGCCAAGTATTTGTTCAGCATCTTTGCACATAAATCCTCGGTTTTGGTAAGGTGTATAAATTTAACACACATATTTTCCAAAAATGATAGCGTAATGTAATGTTATTAAAAAAGCTTCCTTATCAATTTTACATGCAGTTTTACTGTACATGGATCAAATATTCTCAAARCATGTGAGAAAATTAAGCCCTTTTTTTTGCCAGTTTAAAGATATTTTTTGCAAAATTGTTCAAGTCTTTTAAAGAAGACTTTTGTAAGGTTGATTCATGCTGGACTTTACTGTTTGACTCATTAGCGCCTCTAGTGTTTGGGCATGGAACTGCAGCCACCACCATTGCTCTCAAGCGAAGGACAGATGAGTGACATGACAGGGGCACTTCAGGGGGCCAATCAGATTTCAGCAGGGGCAAATGCCCCTGTGACCCCACCCCTAKAACCACCCCTGACAAAAAGTCAAAGAAAACATCATTATATGCAAGGAACTTGGCATAAAACACACAATTTTACTCATTTTGTCTCATAACTGGCAGATTTTATCTTAAACTTGACTCAAAGGGAAACAGGAAATGACATCAAAGGGGACCTAAGAAAAAGATCTCTGGTTTTTGTTTATTAAAACAATTTTATTTAAACTCTTACTCTTTGATAGAGACTCAAAATAATGTAAAGAAACATTAAATACTTTACAGTCTGAGTTGTCAGCTGTTGTAGCGACACTATTCACATGCAGACCCTCCCCTTTGACATCACTTCCTGTTACTTCTCATGCAAATATCTCAACAACTGTTCATCTCAGCGGTGTGATATTTGTTTTGTAATATCTTATTAATGTCGTATTTCCAAAAATGCATTCATATTTATTACAAACATTTGATGCCACAGGCCCTTTAATGTTTACAGTGAGCTATAGAAACACATTAAATGGAAAACTGCATGGAAAGTGTCAAACATCATTGGACATGACTCAACTGTATACTTTTAGTTTGCTTCATATCTCAAAATTATTATTATTATTATTATTATTATTATTATTATTATTATTATTATTATTTGATGTTATAGGCACTTTAAAACATGCCTATTATTAACAGTTGTATCGTTCCTGCCATCGGCAGGTGCATTTCCATGTTTCAATCACCAACTCCTGATTGATTTCAGAGTCAAAGGTTAAGCAGTGCCACAACACGGAGGTGAAACAAACCCAACGTGTGGCCATGAAACACCTGAAACACACACTGGGCCACTCCTTCAGATGTGCAGCAGCTTGTTCCCACACAACTTTCTCACAGACGAGATGCTGAGTTAGATCAGCGTGAGGGTTTAATCTGTCTGCTGGCGTCTCTGCACCTGTCACTTCTTGATTTATTTCTTTACGGAGAACTTCTGCAAACTCTTTCAGATCCAGCTATCTGATTTGTTTTTCTTTTTTCTGTTAAGATATATGTATCTAAATTCTTAGAAAACAACAAAAAATACATTTTCTTTCTCGGCTCGTTCGTGACTGTTTGTTCAGACTTCGTCTTTTTAATCAGCACATGTGTGATGAAACCTGTCAGACTCTGAACCAATTAACTGATTAGAGTGTGACATCACGAGTTTCTAACACTGAACATCGTCACTATGTTCTACTTTTCTGAGACACACACACACACACACACATATATATATATATATATAT